TTTTGTCTCACCATAGATACCTCTGTACATTTTAAGTGCCTGTTCATGGAAGCTGATTGCTTTCCTGTAATCACCCAGATTGTGCCAGGCTGACCCCAGGTTGGCAAGTGATATGGCAATGTCAGGATGTGGTGTACTCTGACCATAGATGTCCCTTCTCATCTGTAATGCCTGTTCATGGTAGCTGACTGCTCTTCTGTATTCACCCAGATTACTCCAGGCTCTACCCAGGTTGTCCAGTGATATGGCTATGTCAGGATGTGGTGTACTCTGACCATAGATGTCCCTTTCTATCTGTAATGCCTCTTCAGAGTAGCTGACTGCTCTTCTGTATTCACCCAGAGCACACCAAGATACAGCCAGGTTGTTCAGTGATGTGGCAATATGAGGATGTGCTTTTGTCTCACCATAGATACTTCTGAACATTTTAAGTGATTGTTCATGGTAGCTGATTGCTTTCCTGTAATCACCCAGACGGTGCCAGGCTGACCCCAGACTTCCAAGTGAGAAGGCAATGTCAGGATGTTCTGTACTCTGACCATAGATACTTCTTCTCATCTGCAGTGCCTGTTCATGGTAACTGATTGCTTTCCTCTGATCTCCCAGGCTGGACCAGGCTGCACCCAGGTTGTTCAGTATGGATGCATTGTCAATGAGTTCTGTACTCTGCCAATTGGTTTTTCCATGCATTGTTAGTGCCTGTTCAAGGTAGCTGATAGCTTTGTGGTGATCACCCACCTCAAAATTAGCATGTCCAATATCACTAAGCAGCAGAATCATCTCAGTGTCGGTTCCATCAGCTGCCTTAAGAGCCTCATGGTAGTGTCTGAGAGCCAGTCTATATTTACATAACTCACTGTACATCCGTCCTTGTACTCTTGGAGAATTATCATACAAATCAGGGAAAGGCTTTAGGCATGGGTTCTTTTCAGGCCATTTAGACAAAACAGATTTAAGAGGAACTGCTGTATGATAGTATCTGAAAAGCTGTCTTTCATTTGGTAGATGAAAAACTGGCTTCAGTTCATTTCTTTGCACTTCTTCTTTGGTTAGTAGGGATGATTCCTGTTGATCTAGTACTGTTTCCATCGAGGCAAAAGCTGACAAGTTTTCCTTCTGTCCACCATTTGCAATGTATGTTCTGAGCCTGAGTTCTGCTGAGATGCTGGTAAGCACTGTCAGGTGGTGTGCATTGTTGGGACTGATCACTTGTTTGTTTTCCATCTCTTCTATCATCTTCCAAACTGTGCTAGGTTTGATATGTGACGACAGGGCCAAGCAATCAACCGCTACAGCTGGGAAGCGATAGATTTTCTTCTTGACATCAATCAATCTTGCTGTGATTGTTTCCTTACCACTGTTCTCCCTCTGTATCTGCTGTGCCAGTTGCTGAGGCATTCTACCCCCATCAGCTTGCATTATCCTCCTTGTGATGACCATATATGTGTCAATCAAACCCTGGTCCCCTGCTATCAGGCACGGGTTTCTCAAGATTATGGCAAGGTGATATCCTTCCTTCAGATACCATGTGGCATCCGTTTGTAGTTTTGAAGCCATGTTATTTGGGGTGCAGATGAGTTGACTGGTTCCTTGCCTGCCCAGTGGAGTCTTGCTCGCCTTTGGCATGGAGCCATCAAATGCAAACCCACGTGGTGTTACAGAGTCATAGTACCAGTTGTCATCAAGTGAATTCTTAGAGTAGAAGTCATTAAGAGATTTTATTCCCAGTGCTGGGAGAATGGTTTCTCCCAGGTTGACCACCTTGAGGTGTAGATAGTGGGTGAGGTTGCAGAAATACACAAGACATTCTTCCCTTTCTTCTTCTACCAAGATGGCAGACTCCAGGTCTGAGTATGGAGTTACCAGTCCTGTGGCCTGTGAACCCAAACCTATCAGGGCATACTTACAGGGAGGGGGACCCATTAACCCAATACACTCTTCTACAAGCAGGCTGATGAACTCCTTCCTTTCTTGTGCAATTTTGTCAAACAACTGCCTGACAGCCTGAGCTCGTTTTGCCTCTATCTCTTTGACACTTGGGTCACTCTCATCTAGTGTATAGGGATCCAGCTGCTGGTCAATGGTTTCCATCTCCAGCTTGATCTGTTTCCGCATCTCCTTTAGCTGTTTCTTACGTCTATCTTTGTTGACTAGATTCTTATCACAATGAATGTTTAAAACATATTTGAGAAATGACTTCTCTGCCTCTGTAACAGCTTTTGCTATGTTACTATTGAGGACTTGATCCTCTGACCTGGCTATTGCTGCATGGTAGAGTGCTGCTGCTTTGACAAAGTCTCCCCCGTCTCCTGTCTGCTGACCTCGCTTACTGTAGACATCCCCCAACTTGCACAGGGACTCCACCTCTCTCTGGTACTGCTGGGCTGTGGGGTCTGAATAAAAACTCAATGTTGGACATATTACCTGTTAGAGCAACAATACAGTAAGTCAATGACCTGGGATGTCTTAATGTTAAGTCATATTCTTGCTAAGGGAAAATGGAATTTTTTAAAATTTAGAAGTTAGACTTTTTTGGCTCAGTCTAAGTCTAACCTTTGGTCAGTGTGTTTCTCTACATATTTAGTCACAAATTGGAAAGTATTATGTCATGTTAACTTCCAGAATGCTCAGAAGCTTTTACGCTGTCTAATTAGATATGGTAGGAGTTCTGGATTCAATGTTCCAAGTATGATGAAGTTCTATTGTAACTGAGTATTTCTGTACCTGGCATGTGTACTGTCTTGAGTGCAGCTGCAAAGTGCTTCTCTGCTGAGTCCAGGTCTGCCTTGTCAAGGGATGATTCACCTTTCTTAATGTGGTCTTTGTACTGCAGCTGACTGACAGAAAAAGTAAAGGATAACGTGTAAATATTGCAAGGTGCACATGACTATATAAATGTACAAACTGTCATTGTCATAATGCTAACTTTTCAAAGGTAAAGCTCAACAGTTACATACTCAATTCTTATTTTTTTTTAGGCACAGTAAGTGTAAGGTATCCCCACCTCTGTATATCAGTACGGGTCTGTGTAACATCAGGTCTTGTCATGTTCCCAAACTGGTGTCCCAAGTTTGATCTCTTTTCCTTTTCTATTTCTAAATTTTGTAATTTGGCTGCCAGGCTGGTCATATCGTTGTCAGACATTTTTGTCTTCTGGAATAACAATGACATAAAACATAAACATAAAAGAGGGGACTGGATTAAGCATAGCCGAAGCTATGAGAGTGGCAGAGGACAGAGTTAAATGGAGAAGAATAGTAGACCAAAAGGCATGGTGCCCCAACGACCCTCAATGAGGGATAGGTGAGGTTAGGTGAATAACAATTATATGGCGTATGGTTCTCCATTGTGAATATGTGTATGGACAGGAGTAGAGTCAATTCCGCATCACCGTGTGGGTTGTTATTGTCATTATTTAGAAATGATTCAAACGTATTAGAAACATGGAGAAAAAACCCACTCGGTGACGCGGAATGGACTCTATACTGTCATAAATAACAATATTGTAACAATATTGCAATATATATAGGAATATCTGAGTATTAATGCACCAAGCACTTTTGTACAAGTAATTTTTCAGTGTTCTGCAATATTGCAGAATGCCACAAATTTTATTCTGTAATTTGGCAATGCTTTCTGCAAATACACACTTGTAAGACTGGACCTAAACCCATGGCATATAAAATTACATGTTGGCAAACATTTTAAATACGATTGGAAAAGCAACTGGAAAATTGCTAGTATATTAGAGTCCATAGTCAACACAAAGCTCTTTAACAATACATGTATTATTATAATACCAATACCAAAACTCCTAGCCTGATTTGTCAGTCTGCAATGTTGCAGGTTGCTTAATTTTTCTTCTGCAATATTGAAAATGTGGGTGGGTATCTAACACTGAAGCATTTATAAACCCCTGTAGCCTCTGTAACTTGTCAAGCTGAACAGACTTACATGAACAGACTCACCTGGATGTCTGTGACTCCACAGCTGTGAACCTGCCTGGGTCTAGGGACTTGCTTCTTTCTCACCGTGTCAGCAGAGTTTTGGGTTTTTTCTCTGACTCAGAATCTAGTCATATGGGACTTTTCCCTTCAAATCGCTGGGACTTTCCATGTTGTCATACCTAAGTCAGTAGTTAGTCCCGTGACAATGTAAACTGTGACTAAGTGTACATATAATAGATGACTTATAAGTTATTACCAGTCCTTATGTTTACATGTTTGATCACTTACTTGGCCTAACCATGAATCCAGATTACTGGGGGTCTGGCTGATTCTGTCTTGAACAGATAATGCATTCTGGTCAGGACTTGTGTCCCTCTCCATGACCATTTTCCTATAAAAACTATCATGTCTCTACATGTACATCCAAAGTAACTAACTTTATTGACGCAAGAAAACAAACAGTGACTTTCGTATTTTAGATCTTTAACTAGACATACAGGCAGACACATGGGTACCACAGAATTTACCTACTTACAAAATGTACAAGACTATAGATGAATTAACTAATACTACTTTTGAGTTTTATTTAGATCCACAATTAGCCTCATAAGAGGCTGTTCTTCCTGTGGTCTACACACTCATATATACATAGTACATCTATTACAAACGTACAAAAACATTACAAAGTGAACAGTATGTAGAAAACTTAACACAGTCCCTTAAATACACTATTTACAGTCCAGTACTTTGCTAGTTGCCGCTTGTGTTATTCTGCAACTGTGACATTCTGTACAGAAAGTGCCTTTTCTGAGAGTTGGATTTTGGTTTTGGTAGTCTGATTTTGTTTGTACTGTTCGATAATGTATGTTTTGTGATTTTGTTCTAAGGTGTAATGATTATCATTCTTTGATATATTTAGTACCTGTCTGTACACTGTAAGGGTTATTACCTTCTAGAATTAAATAGAATTTATCTATAGCATGAAATGTAACAAATTCTGTTGAGCAAGCGGATTCATTCCTAAAAATTTGTCTGTCCCCCCCCCCCCCTCAGGAGGTTGAAGTCCTGCGTATGGAGAATCGTAAGCTGTACCGGGAGGCGGCGAACGCTCACAGCGAGGTCTCACTGCAGAAACATGCAGCCGAGGAGCTTCACGCCACCATCACCAGGCTACAGCAGGTAGGGCATTGTTGTTATTGGTTACTGTTGTTAGTCGTAATTGAATGCTCACAGCGAGGTTATTGGTTATTGAATGCTCACAGCGAGGTCTCACTGCAGAAACATGCAGCCGAGGAGCTTCACGCCACTATCACCAGGCTACAGCAGGTGGGGTATTGTTGTTATTGGTTACTGTTGTTAGTCGTTATTGAACGCTCACAGCGAGGTTATTGGTTATTGAACGCTCACAGCGAGGTCTCACTACAGAAACATGCAGCCGAGGAGCTTCACGCCACCATCACCAGGCTACAGCAGGTGGGAGAGTGGGTTATTATTGTTCAAATTATTATTTGTTGTTTTGGGTTGGCCAGCTACTCTCTCGATGCAGCCAAGGGCAGAATTGTGAGGAGCTCACAATAGTTGAGGCTTAATCGCAAGGGTCTGGAGCGGCTGCCATTCGGCGCTAACTCAGGTGACCTCAATACGACCCCAGGTGCGACCAATATAGTACTATAAGGTTTGAACCACTCATATCAGGAAGGATCCCTACTCTTTTTGATAAGTAAGTACTTAGGGTCAGTCAAAGAGTGTCTAAAGAAAGGAAGTTCAAGATTCCAGGCTTTTAATGTGTACTGTAACTCACTTTATGTTGCAAAATTTCACAGTCTGAGAAAAGTAGACATGTTCACAGAACAATAAATTACTGACAGGCGCAGGGAAAAGTCCAGGAATTTTTTGTTAGTTGTCATCATAAGTTCACGGTACCATACAGAAGTGACAGTGAAAACAGTGACCATCAAAGTACCATGAAAAAAATCAGGAATTACAGTTGTGTATATTTCTTTGATCCCCCAGGAAGTAGACCACACCTCGGCAGAAAACTTCCGCCTGCTGAACCGACTAAAGGGGGGTGAGACCCCCCCTGGTGGTGTCCTGTCCCCCCCTGGTGTCCTGTATGCCCGCACCCTCCCTAGCAAGGGTCTAACCTACAGGAGGAACCAACATCCTCAGGACAAGGGGGTTCAGAGTTCACTGTCAGGCACCGTAAGGCGGCCCGACCAAATCATCCATGCAGTGGTGGAACAGCAGGGCAGCGCTAACCCACATATGTCTGACCTGGGTGTTCAGGTTTGTGCACGGTTTTCTTTTTTTCAAACTTTTTTTTTCTCCTGTCAAAAAGAGCCAGGGAAATTTCCCTGGTACAATGAACCTGCAAATACTGTACATAGCACCTGTCTTCTCTGTCACGACCATTGGAAGAGTAGCTTGTATCTTCAGTGAGCTAAAAGTAGATCAAGATCACTTTCCTCTCCTTTCCTTTCCTTTCCTTTCCTTTCCTTTCCTTTCCTTTCCTTTCCTTTCCTTTCCTTTCCTTGCTATTGGAAAGGGTTGCAAATGTTAATCATATGCTGTTAAACCCCAAAAATAGACAAACATATTAATATAGGTTTACTTAGTATTAGGACCAAAAGCTTTTTAGTGAGCTTAAATTTCATTGAGTTTCATTCATTTCAGTTCCTTTTTTTTCATTTCCTTGTTAGGTCAATGTTGTGGAGGCCGAGTCGTTGGTGGATGCAGAAAAGCTGCGGAAGGAGAACCTGGAGCTGAAGAAGAGTCTGGCGGGTCTGAGGTATGAGAGAGAAGACTTACAAGACCGGCTGAACAGCAAGAACCAAGACATGGCCTCGCGTCTCAAGGAGCTGAACCTGGAACTGCAGCAGAGGCGGGAAGAAATCGGCACCACCGTCTCAGAAAACAAGAACCTCTTGAAGGAGAGAGACGAAGCGAAGACAAGGGTTGAGGAGATGGAGGACAAGCTTAAAGACACAGAAGCCTGCAACGAAGCTGCTTCCAAGAACTATGAAGAGTTGGAAGAAAAGCTGCAGGCAAAGCAGAAGGAGGTCGACTCAATGACTCAAGAGCTTGCGGAACTGAAGCTGGATGGTCGTAAGTTTCGAGAGAAACTTGAGACAGCAGAGCTAGAGACATGTTCGCTCCGGGAACAGCTAAACAAGTCACAGAACATGAGCAGGCAACCTGGCCTCAGCCCGACATCTTCTCTTGCCCTACAGCGAGAAAATGTCCACTTAAGGCAGAAACTGGAGACGGCTTACGAGGAGATACAGGTGCTCAAAGACGCCTTACAGTTGGAAGATTCGACGGCGGGCTCGGTGAAGAGCGTAGACAGCATGTCCAGCTCAGCGTCCTCCATGAACGCGGAGAAGGAAAACCTGAAGTTGCGACACAAGTTGGATCTAGCTGCGAACGAGATTGACTCGCTACGAGAGCAGCTCCAGTTCGAGCAGTCTCTTGGAACCGTCCCCTCGACTCTGTCTCAGGGAAAACTTAAGGAACAGGAGAACAGGAAACTGAAGGACAAGATCTCATCACTGACATACGAACTAGAGACTCTCAGGGACAAACTAAATGGTACAAAAGAACCCCCTAGCAGTAGTTTGGAGAATGACAACGCAGAGTTGAGGAAGGAGCTTAGCGTAGCGAAAAGTGAGATTCAGTCGCTTCAGGCCACCATCGAGAGGTACAAGCTAAACCGCGAGGAGGTCCAAGACAGCATTCAGGAGCTTGAGTCGGCACTTGAAGACGCTCACAGGGACCAGCTGGTCCTTCAGAAGGAGATGACGACCTTGAAGGAACAGTACAGCAAGGTCAAGAAGGAGTTGAAGCTCGCGAAGAAACCGAACAAGGACGGTAGACCTTACGATTCTGACACTCAAAGTGACGTGTCGGTGAGATCGGTGCCGTCTACGAGTAGCGAGTATCTTCCTCTTCCCGGAGACAAGGAAGTCAGCAGTCCTTACTCCAAACTCTACCACAAACTCAGGCAGACTATCGAAAAGACGGTCCCACCTGCAACTAAAGCGGGCCTGGGTCTCCCCTCGCCATTCAAGGTGTCACAGAAAGAACAGGACTTAGGTGTAGGTCACTCCAGAGATGTGGATAGAACGTCTGGAGGAGATCTAGACCCTGGTGTAAGAAGTAGAGTAGTTTTCACAGATAGCAAAACAGCAACTACGGAAATGGAAACGACTTCTAGTAGGGATCCTTTACAAACATCAGATCGTCATAATTATGATGACTACAGCAGGGAAGAAAGAAGAGATGATTATTCCTACAGTTACTCAAGTAGAGATGGCAAAAAGTGGGAATATGAAAATCAGAGTGAACAGTCCGTGAAAACATCAACACAGCAAACAAAGACATTGAGAGAAGAAGGGGAAAGGGTATCGGCAAATGACCTTGACTTGATGTCATCTTGCTCACAAGATGGAAACGATGACCTTCAAAAGACCTTGGAGAAATACTCAAGGTCGTGGATGTCTCAAGGGCACTACGACTCTCCTTCCTACTCCAGAACGTGGGATGATGAAGGTCATGACATTGCTAAAAACCTTGACCTTGAATTCAAGGGCAGTGAAGGTGGGGAGGGGGGCACAGGTCATTTTGGAAGGAGTGATGCAGTAGGATATGGCAATGCAGACGTAGATACAAACAGCAAAACCAGTATTGCTGACCAGTGGTCTTACAGTGACAATGCACGCAGTCAGAAAACGGGATGGAACAGTGGTTTACCTGACGTTAGCAACGGTCTCTCAGACGCAGACGTGTCCTCGGGTTATAATGCAGACAAAACGGCCACTATTCGATGGGACGCAGACTACAGAACTGAGACGGTGTCTTTGACAGATGAGAGGGAAGCCCACGTTTCTTCAAGTGTTGAAGAAAGAAAGGATATTCCCAACGGACACTTGGATGAGGATGTTGCGATTGGCCCAGATCAGCAGAGCAGGGAAGACTCCGTTTTGAAAGACAACCTGCCTTATGCGCCTGTGAAGGTATGTTTACTTTGTAAAAACTCACACTTTGAGAATAACAATGTTCCATCAGTATTAGGACTTGTAGATAATACCAAATATTAGTTGTTAATACTGTTTTATGATTTTAATCTAATAAATATTGAATATTAGTATTTTTTAAAACAGTATTCTAAATTCTGTTTCACAGTAAGTTTTGATAAAATTCAAACAAGATGCCATGAACCAGTAAGAACAATGTAGCTCTAGGGTGCAAAGTCTGTAAATGAATAAATCAATTAATTGATGAGTTCTTTCATTGATTAATTGTTCTATTGATCGATTGCAAATTTCAAAGGAAATTCTATATGTTGTTTCAATGTATTACTAAGTATCTTTGCAATAACAGATGTACATGTAAAATCAATATTTAGACATGTGCTGCAAATGAATAAATCAATTAATTGGTGTGTTGATTGATTGATTGATTGATTATTGATCACAGGTGCCTGAGGTCCTGCCTGATCCGTCCGCCCCTCCCCAGCTCACCCCAGAGCAGAGAGACTACGCCAACAGTCTGATAGAGAAGTACCTGAAGATGAGTCCTGTACACTACAACCTGCAGATGTCCTCCAGTAACCCCGACTCTAGAGGAACAACAGTGGAGGAGTCCGCAGAGAAATAGTCTTGGTGGGTTGTAGGTAGAGTCTAGAGTATCCGAGTTATCAACGAAGGATTGAGACGTTTAAAAACTCGTAAAAACGTATTTTCCTAGACCTATCGTAGAGTGGCATGTGTTGCCACCAAGCACAGTAGTGCTAGAAAGCTTTAAATAAGCCCTGCAATTAAATGGGCAAAGGTTGAGTGTAACAAGTCATTTGGTGTAATATAGCTAGCTGCTGCCGTGCCGCGTGCCTGCAAAGCTGGTATGTTATGCTGAAGGGCAGTTATACCGGCTGTACAAATACAGAAACTGGTGTGTTATGCTGAAGGGCAGTTATACCGGCTATACAGATACAGAAACTGGTGTGTTATGCTGAAGGGCAGTTATACCGGCTATACAGATACAGAAACTGGTGTGTTATGCTGAAGGGCAGTTATACCGGCTATACAGATACAGAAACTGGTGTGTTATGCTGAAGGGCAGTTATACCGGCTATACAGATACAGAAACTGGTGTGTTATGCTGAAGGGCAGTTATACCGGCTATACAGATACAGATACAGTATGTAGACTCTAACCCATGGGAAATTCTCAGTACTAAAACATACTCTTTGTATTGTCTTATTTAAGACATTTCTGTCATTTGATATATTGTCAAATTTTTATTTTTCAGGAGACGCTGGTGTAGTCTGGTCCATCTGCCACATGGGGAGGTGATTTTATTATTATATTTTAGAAGGTATATTTAAGTTCAGAAGATATGTACATGTATTTATAATCATTGTATCAATGCCGTCCTGAGAAAATGCAGTCTGAAGCTATTTCTTTAATCACTGAAAAGTAAAATGGTGAGACCAGTATTTAAGAGATGCTCCTGATTTTAAACCTCTCCTTGTTTAGACATACATTTATTATTCAACATTGTATCGTTTACAACATAATTCAGTAGGGAGGGGGTTAAAAAAAAGGATTAAGCATTGTCTTTTTTTAAGATTCACCCTTTTTGTTTTTCCAGAAAATTAAGAATAATGGCAGTAAATATGAATTATCACTGAACAGCAGTATATGTACATGAACTTTGTACATTTAGTACACCCGATAGGACCAATATCTACTATATGCTGTCTGTGATATACTAGTAGAATGTTGAAGTTTCCTTGTACCAATTTAACCATTGCAACCATAACAAATTTGTTTGCAGTTGTCTGCTTTATATTGTGGGGAATACCATCAGCATTGTGCCCTTCAGTATTTATAAGTCTTTGTGTAAAATGCTTTTTACAACAGTTGGTGCCTTGTCTTGCCAAACAGTGTTCAAACCTTATGGTATACAACTCAACAGGTCTGGATCTACTGAATTCTGCCTGACGTATACATTAATACATGTATACAGGCCACAGCCACACAAATTTGTAGGGCATCGAAGTTGAATATCGATGTTCACATCTTTGTATGATCCCCTACATGAAATATTGTACTCAGTATTTGGTAACAATTTGACAATTCCACATCAACACCAAGCCATAGATCCACAATATACTTGTTACTGTATCTTTCTATTGTGTATTTGTACAGATATACAAATATTTATTCATGCTGTAAGTTGTTTCTAAGAGAGTGCAGTGCCAGTGGTGTTAGTGTGTGAAATAACTGTTCTGAATTGTATTGTACATGTAGAAGGTGCAAGTTTAGAGTATTTTACCAATCATGTTCTTACAGAAATATAAGAAGGCATTTGCTTAGTAGCTCGTAAAATCATGGCTTTAAACTTTTCTATATGTAGTCCACATCCGTGTCCATAATATCACCAGGGTCCATAATATCGCCACCTTGAGAAATAGTGTGCTTTAAGATATTTTTACAGCAACATACTTTTGGTATGCACTCCTGCGCACCTCAAATGTACATACCTAGGGAATGTTGCAGTAAAAATATCTTTAAGCACACTTTTTCTCAAGGTGGTGATATTATGGACCCTGGTGATATTATGGACACAGATGTGTACCTTTATCTCTACAATAACTGAAGGAGTGCATACCAAAAGTATGTTGCAGTAAAAATATCTTTAAGCACACTATTTCTCAAGGTGGCGATATTATGGACCCTGGTGATATTATGGACACAGATGTTACCTATTTGTAAGGGTTATTGCCTTCTAGAATGAAGTTGAATTTATCTGTTATAGCATGAAGTATAACAAAGGGGTTTAGATGGTGGAATTCGACAAAAATAAGGCCTGACCACCAGAAAGGCTCAAAACTTCAGTATTTTTATAACACAATTGTATGTTATCTGTGGTACACATCCGATTCTAGGAACCCTGTTTCTCGTTGGGTCTGCGCAAGCTTGTGATGCCACCAGTCATGAAGAGACCTCGGTCCCGGCTCTATACGTCCATGGAGATATTATGGACACGGATGTTAGTCCTGGCTCCAACTAAATTCTTCCCATCCAGTACATTGAAACATGTATGCTACATGTAACGTTACTCTCTCCAAGCAGAGGTTTGGGCTTTGGCTTATTTTTGGCGTTTTTTTAGGCTAAAATAAGCCAAACCCCAAACCTCTTCTTTGAGAGTATACTACATGTAACTGTGTTCAAAGTTAAGACTTTTGGTCCAACACAAAAAAATTCTCTCACCTAGAGCTTTCGACCAGTCACTCTGGTCTTCCTCATGCAGTAGACTGACCCAGTGAAGCTTGTCACGTGGCTTCTTTGAAGTGTGACATCAACACTGGGTCAAAGGTATCTGGTCGAAAGCTCTAGGTGAGAGAATTTTTTTGTGTTGGAACAAAAGTCTTAACTTTAAACATGTAACTACCAACACAGATGAACTTTCATGATAGTACATGTAACAGTGTTACTTGTTGGCCTTCTTTCCCTCATGTAACAATGTACCATCCTTCAAAATAGGGAGAACCAGCATTATTTCTGTCTGTCAATCGCCGAAATTTGGAACGAGGACTATGAAGTGTATTTATTTAGATTAAGATTTACGGAGTTTTGTGCCAAACTATAGTTTGTTGTGACTTCTCCATGGTTACCAGGTTGCTTAGCAACAATAGAATAATCACAGATGAACTTGCTTTATGTCATCTGCTACCTTCAAATCTTCTTTGTGTGTTATTTTATGACGAGAATAAACAAATGTTCCAACTTGTCTGTATTCTCTATTCTGTGGGTCGTCACAAGTCATAACTTTAAAGTTTCAAAAGACACATAAGGCCATCCAACATCTGCTTGGAGCTTAGTATCTGTAACGTTAGATATTATGACAAACTTTTGAAAGAAGACACAAAAGACACAATAGAAGAAACAGGACGAAGCTGTATGATGTAATAAAAAGTCTTTTTTTATTATTTACACGGTGGGCACATAATACAATCTGTGTAATCAACACAAATTAGTTCAGTTATAAATACAATACGAAATATCATACTCTTAAGGAAGCAATTGAAGCTACACATATCTACGAGAGTGGTGACTATGTACACTTTTTTTCCTTTTATACTGGGGTTTTGGAACTCCTATTGCCACACTGTACAATGGTGAGATATCTATATAATGGGACAAGGACATTTGGGGGAAGACAACCTCTCATTGGTTACCACGATATCCAATTAGATGCTTTCACATCAATCCAGAGAAATTTCATTGGTTCCTGTAATATCCAATCAGCGCTTAAAGTGGTTGTTACTATGGTGATCATTGCCATGGTAACCATTTTGTGGTTCTTCCCCCACACATATAACGACACTAAGGAACCCGTTGGATGCAGTGATATTGAACTGTACACACACACATATAAGGGCATGCCCATGGCTTGGAATGAAATGACCTTTCACCTCTGGAATAGAACGCTCAGGTGGAAGCCATCTTGGAATGGTGTCACGTGGGAATGAAGGTTATTAAGTACAAAAATTGTTCGTAAGACATGGTTGGTGCATTAACGATATACACGTTGGCGTACAACATAGTTACATTGATCAATACTACAGAAACAATGTTTTGATATACAAAAATATGTTAATGCTCTAGCAGTTTGTCTTGTATATCACAAGCATAGTGTTTCCCTCTTACCAGGGGTGGCAAAGGGTCCTAAGTTCTTACACGGATTTTTAAAATCCGAATCACATATAACATTAACATACCTGTGAAATTTTGTGCTAAGTGCAGGATAAAGGATAGAATATGTGCGACTACATTTTCCACTTAAAAAATTACAATATGGCAAAATAAAAGGTCTTGACAGTAGCGGGCCGCCGAAATCTACAAGCTACGAAAATGCAAAAAAAATCGAAAAAGAAGTGCTATTAACGAACGGAACATAACGAGATATCAACAAGGTACAATTGGACACAGTAAATATAAACAAACTGATTGTCACGAATAAATAATATCAACTCTTCATCTGTCCGATACAATTTAACATCACAGGAACATTTTTCCTTTTCCCTGTGCTTCGAAACCCTGAATTCTAACTCCTCAGCTGACCATGCTTCTTTCTCATTTTATTACAAACATACACGTATACACAGCCAGCCACCCTGTCTTAGGGCAAGCCTTAATTCATAGGTTCTGCTAGCATCTTGTTTTTAAAATGGTCCTTTTTGTGGACAGCAACCGTATTATCAAAACCGACATTTACCTAAACGTTATCATTTTAAAAAAATGCGGGAAATGTATGTGCATTTAATAAATAGTGATAAAAATGTACAATTGCATTTGCAGGGTTTTCTTCTGGCTGGTTTATCTGACTCTACAGTACCAGAAGGTTTTGAAGCATATCTAATATTATGTCTTCTGGAACATTGCATTAGGAATATCTCATTCCAGTCCTGTACACAAATCTTAAACGTCGTCATGGACTAAAAATGTCTTGTTTGCAATCGTTTCCATAAAGCCTTAGTCCTACAAACTTGGTACAGGTACAACACAACAGTATCAACAATGACACACCTGCCCAGCACAGGCGACAAAACTTTGCTGTGTTTGTTTCATTCCACCTGCTTTTTGTTGTAGGAAAATACAATACAAACCAGGATATCAGCATTGATTGCTATGCCAACAGTTGCTATGCCAATAGTTCGTTGCTATGTATGACCGTGAACTCAACTCTTAGATATGTTTCTCTTTTTTTTTTTTCGTCATTTTTCAAACTTTCTTCGAAAGAGACTTTGAGGTGCTTCGTGGTTAAGTAGTTATATAATAAAGTCTTTGACATGGCATGTGGAGCACCAGTTTCCATGGTAATCGTCTCCGTGGCTACAGCTGCTTAGCAACCATCCCCAAGGTGTCTCCTCTCAGCACGTCAGCAGAATGTACTGCACCTCCGATCCAGGAAACCACCATTTTTCAAAGTTTTCGTTGGATTTTTGGTCAACGTTGCATCAGAATTTTGCCTGTTGCGAAAGATATTTTTTCCGACGTAACATTTGGAGACAACAGACAGGATTTTAACCTTATATACCCAAATATGAACTTATATGAGACGTTCTGCCAAAGTGCTATGCACAATGCATTACAGGTTTCGCGCAGGTGCAGTACGTTCTGCCGACATGCTTCTCCTCTCCACATGTAGTACTATAGCGTTGTGCATAGCTTAGCAGAGGTTTGGGTTCTGGCTTATTTTTGGCGTGTTTTTAGGCTTTTTTATCAGGCTTGCACTGTTATTTATCTTTACGCCAACCCAACAAAGCCTTAAAAAACACGCCCAAAAACAAGCCCATACCCAAACCTTTGCTTGGAGAGGAGTTGTGTTATCGGGCTTTCTTTCTTGCACTGTTTTCTTTTTTATATTCACACCAACCCTAGCTTTTACCAGGCTTCAGGAGGTAAAAGAGTAGAAATCAGCCAAATAGAGAGAGATAACATGCCGAGGGAGTTGGTCCGCTTAACGGTGTGGCAAACTGTTCTCTCAGTACTACTAGCGCGGACCAACTCCCCTGGCATGTTATCTCTCTATTTGGCCGACTTCTACTCTTTCCAGCCGCCTCCCGAAGCCTGGTAGAGGCTACGCCAATCCAACAAAGCCTAAAAACACGCCAAAAACATGCCCAAAAGCTATATCTCTGCCTGGAGGGCAGTTGTGCATAGCGAGGCGATGCCTATGCTACGAGCGGTGTGCTGACTCCTGATTCGATGAGGAGACAGGCGTCCGAGCGTCCCATGTCCTTCAGGACCAGGATGAGCTCCTCGATGGCTCCGTCGTCACGGTTACGGGCCTCCCAGAGGTCCAGGATGTGGTCCGTGGGGCTGGGCTTCGTCGCAAAGTAGTTGATATACCTGCGCAGGGGAGAGGGAGAGGCAGTGGGTCAGTCTATGGTGGGTTTCAGTAAAACGGAACTGTTGTCCATATCATAGGGCTCTAAAACTTTGAATTCAAAGACTTATAATCTAAATTTAAAACTTTGAATTCGATCTATAAGTCTGCACTTTTTAGGAGCACTTTAAAATCTCGCAAAAGGCTCCATTTGCTATCTGGTGCACTGCTAAGTTCCTTGATGCAATCTCTTTATACATCACACAAGGGCAACAGCTGTGGAAGAGATCAAGTAAGGACTAACACCTTTGAAAGAAGCAAGCTCATGCTGAAAAGATGTACAAATGATTGATGCTTCTCTCACTCTGGGACAAACTGAACTCAACTATATAACGTTATATATATATATCCATCACAACCTGTGGAAACACAGACACACACACACGGACACACACAGACACACGCACACACAAAAAACGTATTCACGGTAGTCTTGTTCAATCCTAGTTGTAGCAGACCATACGAAAATCCCTCTACTTTTGTCATGTAGATAAGGAAATACATTTGGTGTGTTCTGTATAGATTCTTACCTGTCGACTTGCAACCTCTTGGCCAGCCCTCGCCAGTCATTGCCCTTGACGTTGGGGATGTCGAGGCAGCCGCGTAAGCTCGCCCGCACCGCAGGGGGTAACCTGAACACTTCGGCGGGCACCTGGGGGGCCTTGGGGATGGCGAGGTCGGACTCCGACCGGAGCAGGGTCGGCTCACGCTTGTGCCTGAGGGACGGCGTGGTCTGTGGCATTCTCCCCTGGAAGACAGAAATGAAAACACTTGTTTAGGCATGTAAACTTCCCTGGAGGAGGGTAATGAACGCTTGTTTAAGTACTCGTGCTCATGACACCAAAATACGACATCATCTGACTGTAGTTTACATAACTAGTATTCCCTGACATGATAACAATAAATATATACAGCTCTCCTGTAATATCCGAAATTTAAATGCCCCACCTTGGAAAATTCAGTACAAGCCAGTCCTGGCATCTCAATGTTTGACATTTGCATTTCTGTATTTTTTATGAATGTTAATGAATCTTAGCGACTGCAAGTTAGAGGATATGTAGTCAAACCTCTAATTTTGCCACATACTCAGTATATAAATTCTGTATGTAGTTTGCAGTATACAGATATTCTGTACATAGGATGACTTTATTCATACATGAATTTAGTTTTGTTTGATCTTAATAGTAGTTAGACCATACGAAAGTCCCTGTACTTTTATCAAGTCAATAAGGAATCTATAAAAACTTGAGATTTCTTTCTTACCTCTCTGCTGACACTTGCTGTGATGTTCAGACTCTGCCTCTCCTCTTCAGGAGAGCCCTGGAAGACTTGGATTCGGGCCGTTACCATTTGGATCTGGGGGTCGGTGCGTTCCATCATAAAGGAACAGTGCAGGCCTGTCTGGCTGCTCCCCCACACATGGTGGAATGGTATCTCCTGAAATGACATCACAAATTGGTCAAAACAGAAATAAAACTTGCTCTGTCACTTTATCAATTGTTTTTAAGGTCCAAAAAAACATAACTGAAATTTAAATGTTAGTTATTTCATCATCATTTAGGTGCCTGCAATTTTTACTCTTGCCGCTAGATGTCCCCACTGCATTACAAGGGTCTTATCACCTTCAAGGTAGCATTCTTCCACTCAAAAGAAATTTTAAGTGACATGTGTTTTGCTTCAACAATCTTGGTTGTAAAACAGGCGCCTCCAGTTTTCACAACTATTGGGCCTAACAAAATAAATGTTGTGTTTCCTATTACAGTCCAGAAAAATTAGGGTACGGTAGGTAGGG